TTTCTGGGAGCTGTGACATGAAATACAGCTTGTCCCGGATGACTTGCAGGACAGCAGGATCGGTTGTGATATCTGGGCTTCTGGCTGCACGCCGCTCAAGTTTGCGGAGACGCTTCCTGAGCTTGACCTGCATCGCTTGAACTGGGTCCTGAATGCTATAAAGCTGGAAGAGGTCCTTAGTGGTGATGCGGCTGGTGTGTGCTGGCAAGTTCAGCACTGATCGCACCTTGTAAGCATGCCAACTACGTAGCTGCTTGGCCGACTCCTCGCTAAGTCCGACGTCTGAAAGGCCTGTAGTCAGTGTGCTCAGGACTGTGCTTTGCCAAACCTTAAGTCTCGACATAGTGCTCGCGTGCCGGCGATTGTAGACAAACTGGCGGACTTGATGCAGCTTTTGCTTGGCTTCCCCAATGCGGTAATGCAAGGACTGCAGCTCGAAGTGATTGTAGGAAATCATAACCCCCAGATACTTGCTACAGGAGACCCACTGGAAGGCGGGGAAAGATTTGTTGGGCCCTATGCGCCATCCGCGAACCTGCTCGCCCTTTGAGTTGGTGATCCAGCAGCCATGTTTGTTCAACACGTTTTGGGATTCTCTTCCCGCTAGCTTCACTAAGATGACGCACTTGCTAATGTTGACGCGAAGACGATGTCTGCGGACCTCTTCAAGTAGCGCTGCGATGAGAGCATGAATGGCCCTGAGGTCCTTATCAGAGCGGATAGTCCGATGGAGCGTGAGATCATCGGCATAGCCAGTCAGGAACTTCAAGACCTGCTCAGCTCCGAAAAGGTCGACCAGAGAGCGGAAAAGGTCACCTGTAAGGAACGAGAAGAGTGTGGGGGCGAGCTTACATCCTTGTTTAATGCCTGCTGTGGTTACAACAGAGGTGGAATCTCCCTGCGCGTGAAGAACGTAACGAGACCCGTCATGTAGAGCCTGAACAAGGTGGACTGTGTCCTGATCGGCCCCTTCTCTCTGAAGAAGGTCGATGATCTCTTGGCGAGAGACTGTGTCAAACGCTTGGCTGAGGTCAAGAGCAAAGGTGAGGCCGCCGACTAAGGCTGGGGCCTGTGTGCCTTGCTGCAAGGCATGTCTCGTGGGGTGGGCCTGTTCTAACAGGGATCGTGCCTCACGCAAGTGATGCACCACGCGTTCTAGTGCGTCTGACAGCCCCCGACCTGGTAGATAAGCGAACTGTGGCATGTGCCTGAGGAACGAGAGGGTCAGTGGTTGAAGCGCTTCTCTGGCCGCTCCCGCCAGTCCCTTAGCGTCAGGTCGAAGGATACCCAATGGTCTCAAGTTTGCTGGTTTATCAGAGGGCTTGCCCGGCTTGGGTATTAAACAGAGATCTGCGTCTACTAGGTCGGAGTCTAGACTGTCCTCGGCCTGCTTGGATGCTACGTGTTCGGAGAGGACCGGTGCAACGAGATCGCTACACAGCCTCCATACAGCCGCTGGTGCCGCTCCGTCAGGAACAGCTTTGTTCGGCTTGATGGAATGTATGTGAGCTGCTAGTTTGGGTGGCTCCAAAGCAGGGAAAGCACCGTGCATAGTCCGTAACGGAGGGTGGGCCGCAAATACCTGATTGGCATAGTCCCTGAGGGCTGCTAGTTCCTGCGCTGGGCCTAGGAGATGTCCTGTGTTGTCCTTTAGCTGAGCTCTGCGCGCGGGCTGCCAAGGCTGCAGCTTTTTGAGGGTCTGGAAGGAGATATGTTGATCACCTTCAGCTAGACTCGCATCTACCTCCGATATGAAACTTGCAATTCGATCTTTCTTTGCTTGTTTCACAGCTTGGCGATGTGCCACTTGTGCCAGCTCAGCTTCTGTTTCCGGCGGACGTGGCGTGTTCCGACTAGGAGGCTGTGCCATTGCTTTAGGTGACTCGATCAGCTGTGCTGAGGGAGTATTCGCAGCCCTGTCATGGGTGCGGGCCCGCCACATGCGACGGGTTTCCGATTCCAGCAGAATCGGTATTCTTTTGGGAAGTTTTGGGAAAAAGCGTTCTGCACCTTCCAAAAGCAACGCATTCCATGCCTTGGGGTCCTGGCAGGTGTCAATTCTGGAAGCTATCCAGCTGTGCAGTGCCTTTGCCGTCTCGTCTTCCTCTCTGACCGAGGCCTGTAAAGCTAGTGAATCGTAACGGCGCGTGCTGGGTTTGTGGGATGGGAGCAGCCAGTGATGCTGGAGGGGTACGTCAGCTTTGAGCGGGTAATGCCCCCCTTTCTTCCAGCTTCCCAACGGGCAGTCCACCCAGGGGGCTGACCTTTTTGCTTTGCCTCCCGCCGTAGATTCTTTGGTGAGAATGAAGTCAATTTGCGACTCCACTCCTCCTTGTGAGAAGGTAGCTATATGGTCACATTGCCAGGTGTTGAGGGCAACCAAACGCAACCTGAGCAGCAGATTAAACAAGTTGGATTCATCAGGGCGGTCCTCAGTAGGTGGCTTCACGTGCGGTCCCACCAATGGAGAGCTCGGACGCAAGGAAGTGTTAAAATCACCTGCTACAATAAGGGAGTCCCTCTTAGGCACCTGCTTGATCACCTTGGACATGACAGATAGCACCTTAGCACGGTCGTCCTTATTGGACTGGATGGTCTTGGCAGAAGACCAAGCGTGTTGGTACACCGCGACAACAACCAGCCGAGTACCCGCAATGTCCGCGCGAGCTTCTAAGACTCTACCCGGGCTCCACTCCTTCCAGCGTAAGCTCTTGGGGACGAACTTGGGAGAGAATAGGATCATGACTCCATCAGCGCGAGTCGTGGATGGGGCTCGCGGTTCTTGCCGAGTGTTTCGCTTTGCTGCTTGTTTAGGCCGGGTGTTAGGTTTGGTAGACTCCGAGGCTGAGGAGATACAGTACCACCCAGAAACACTGAATTCGCTGGTCTCAGTCCAGTGCGTTTCCTGCAAAATGAGGATGTCGCAGTGATGAGAGGCTTCAGCTGCTAGCCATGTTTTGAGTTCGCCCCATTGCTGTTGGCCTAGGTGGCCCGCGTTCCACGAAAGAACTCGAATGGATCTTTCCAACCTTCCTGCCCTGCGGGAGGCTGTGCCATATGCAGGGGAGTCAGCAGTCTGTGACTGAAGCTCTCTTCGAGTGGGTGGGGGGCGCACCCCCAGACGATCGACCAGGGTAGGTGTCAGAACCTGCCCTCGGTATGGTACGGGCCCGTCACTACGGACTGTCCTTCTACATGCTGTCTTGAACGAATTCTTACGAAGAGATGCAAAGTTTTGTGAGTGCACTGGCATTGCGCCATCCGCTACTTTCGTCAAGAGACAGAAGCCTAATGACTCCCTCCACCGCGCGGAGGTGGAAACCCTACCGCCTACCCAGTGTTGCAATGTTTTAAACAGAGTCTGGGCCCAGGAATTGGGACCTGGCGGCTCAAAGCAGCTCCTGTGAGAAAAGGGAGAGGACCATGGCGTAGAAGGAGGCACAAACCTTTACTGTTCAGAAAAGGGCCCGGTTGGAACCTCTAGCACAGCAGTTGCGCCCCAAGCCTGTTCGAAACCTCTCATTCAGCGCGGCCGCTTGAGCACTTGTGGCGGCTAAATGCTACTGCATACTACTACTACTACTACTACTACTACTACTGGCTGCTACTACTACTACTACTGCTACTACTACTACTACTACTACTACTACTGCCACTGCCACTGCTACTGCTACTGCCACTGCTACTGCTACTGCTACTGCTACTGCTACTGCTACTGCTACTGCTACTGCTACTGCTACTGCTACTGCTACTGCTACTGCTACTGCTACTGCTACTGCTACTGCTACTGCTGCTGCTGCTGCTGCTGCTAAGCCCCTTGGCTCCGCCAGGTTGAGAAAGAGATGCTGATCAAAACGCTGGGCCTCTGCCACCCCAACAGTAGCGGATCTTCTAGAAGCCTCCGGTCCACCAACTCAAACACGGCTGTAGGCTGCATGATGGTGCATATCCTTGGGCTGATTGGGCTCATCACAGTCAGCTTTGGTCCTACCTTTGACCGTACCTCTCAAGAGGGTGCTCCCATTCATTGCTGGCCCGGAACTGAGATGAGCAACAGAAGCCACCGATGCATGCCTTTCTTTTCAGTCTGTTCTGTGGCCGCGAGTCAACAGCCTGCCTATGCGTGTTTCCTGCACCGCAGCCTTGAGCAGGATCATCCCTGGGCCTTAGCTCACTGGACATGTCGCCCAAGGAGGCGAAGGCAAAGCAATGCCGGGGCAGTGCAGCAAAAGCAGCTGCGAGGTCGAGAAGTTCGCGCTCCAATAGGGTCGCACCACCGCCGAAGGCAAAGTCGTCCAGCAGTTCGCCGACGTCCCCGCCATCGCCGGACTCCGACTCTGGAGGCGAAGGAGCCAAGGCTAGTGCATTGGCGAAGCACACCTCGGTACCGGCCGGTCCACCGCCACCAGTGCCGGTTAATCACCCCAGCCGAAGGGGTGCAGGATTCAGGCCTGCCGGCCCACCACCGCCGGTACCTGCCTTCTCTTTGCCAGGTGCTCCAGCAGGTATGCCGACCTACCCTACGCCGGCACAGGCATTGGCAGCCGCGGCTAAGGCCCCCTCTGGTCTATCGAGTCCTGCAATGGCAACAACTACTACGCCAACTACGATGCCTACACTGCCACGACCTGGGCTACCTCCGACAACAGCTCCTGCCAAAGCTGCTCCCACTATCACGGCCAAGGCTAAGGCAACAGGGCAGATCCCCGGGTGGTCGATCACCATCAACATTCGGCCCCTCCTATGATCGAGTGCTGAGGGATGTTCAGGCACGACCTTTCTGCAGAGCTAGCACCACAGGTGCATGTGACAGTCGTCAGTCCTCTGCCGTCTCTTCCTGTATGAAGACTTGTCGATCTGTGCCCAGCAGCCTTTCGGGTCGGATTCACAAAAGCCGTGCTGTCCTTGTCAGTGTGCCAGTACTGCCACCCCTAAGGCGCCCACTGCTACTGTCACAGTGGACTGTCCTCCGCGATGACTGTACCGCCCAGGCTGTCCCCATGGCAGGCTCCGAACCTGCAATCGGAGCACCCCTGCCTAGAGATGCTCGCCACAGGTATCAGGTCTCCCGAGACGACCACTCCGGTGTTCTCCTTGCCCACCACCGGGTTTGGGCCCCAGTCTTGCTGCTGCATCTCGTGACCAGCCAATATGAGACTCTGCCGCGTCCTTGTGTGCACCTTGCAGCCCCACCATGTGGTAACCGTGTGTGTGCCTGCAGCTTTCTCCATACCAAGCATCACTGAAGATCCTGGAAGAACATGTGGTGCCTCAGCAGCTTGCCATTACTTCTGCCCGTCTTGCATCCCTTAGGGCTGTGAGACCTCTTGCAGACTGCTCGCAGGTAACTTCTCCTCAACTTCCTAACTCGACGGACCACCCTGTGCTAAAGTGCCCTACCTGTGCCTTTCGAGGGATCATGGAGCCAGCCTCTGGGCAGAGCTGGCCAAACTGGCAGGCAGCACTTGTCCCGCTTACAGTCGGGACAGAAGTGGAGGTGACTGATGGCCACAGACAGCACCTTATAGGCCGCCGGGTGATTGTGCTCCCTACCTTGGAGTGCGATCGCAACACCACCCGGAATGTGCGGATGATACAAGGACCTCGAGCTGAACAACGACGTATTTATACGATCGACAGGGAACACCTCGTTCCCCGACTGGGGTCGGAGGCTACACAAGCTTCCATGTGTGATGGAATGGAGCCGAGTCTGAGGTGGAGATGTGCACCCTCACCATTAACCATCTTCAGCGCACGTTACCTTCTTGGCTACCAGGCCCTGGCGACCATGGTGCCCCCGGCGGCACCCAAACGGAGTCCAGCTGGCCACTATGTCCATCCCCCGCTGGAAGATGCTTCGCTTGAGGCACCCTGGGAAAAACACGCTGACCCAGCTAGCAATCGGCCCTTCTACTACCACCCGGGGACAAAGCAGGTGACTTGGCGAAAACCACGGCCGGCTCTGGTCCTTCCGAGGGAAGAGGAGATTGGGCCCACCAAGCCCAGGCGAGGCAGGTCTGAGATACCAGAGCCGCGCACTCCTAGCCCACCTCCTTCCAAGCGGGTGAGAATGCATCCCACCACTGATGCTCGGCAGAGAACTATGAGCTCTGAGGCCCAGTCGTCAGGCTCTACTGCAGCCAAAGGGATGCCAACCGCAGAGAGGAAGCCCGCTCCGGACTTTGATCCTCAATCTTCTGGTGGCCCTTCCGAGTGGAACTTGGCCGATCATGCTTTACCTGACCGGGTACTGCTCTGGGGAGCCAAAGCCAGGTCACAGCTACCACAACCGCCCAGTGCCCCTGCCTGCACTTTGGACGTGGAAAGATTTCTCAAGAGTTTCTTCAGGACACGGCAAGGCCCAGATGGCACATCCCTTGCAACCTTACTTGGCGACCCGGCCCAGCAACCTGATGGTTGGTGGCGTGTCCCTTGGACACCGCTGGGACCATCGCACTGCGAGCTGCTGTGTCAGAGTGGTTGGCTACGTGGCTGGCACGGATGCAAGATGGAGGCACTATACTCCATCATTTACCATGGACAGCTTCTGCCGAGCATCGATGAGTCGAAGGGTGACAGGTTTCTGGCAGGCTGTCCAGGGGTGTACTTGCACCGAGACAGCCTGCAACACAAGGTGGAGAACTACATGAGATGGATACCACTATGTGGAGACGGTCTCTTTTGGGCTGCCAAGTGGGAGGTGGTGTATGCTCCCTCGGGGAGCACTAAGCATGGCAAGCGAACAGATCAGGTTATACAAAGTGCTGAATCGGTGGAGCTGGTAGCCCTCTGGCTCTCGGTGCGCTCCGAGAACATGCTGCCTGACGGGACTGCTGTGCAGGCCAAATGGACTCCTGAACGTGAGGCCAATCCACGCCTCACTCAGTCCAGGCGAAGAAGCAGTGCTCTGATACAGACCATGGACCTCACGGAACCGTCTGCCTCTTCCAGGCCTCTGCCCAGCTCCAGCCTGAGTTCTGACCCGGCGATCGACAACAAAGGCCGACTCAAGCCGACGCCTAAAACACGTGGTCGCTTGTCACACATCCCTTCTGAATTGGAGAAGGACCGGACGCCAGCACAAGCGAAGCTCACCATACAGTCGGGCAATCTGGTGCTGAAGTCGGCCACAGCAAATAGCTTGGAGGCTACGACTGCTACGACAACCACTCCGGCTGCCACCTCGGAAGTCTCGCCCCAACAGCCCCCGTCAGATCTACCTTGCCGAGGACCCAAACGGGCTCGACCTGACACTTCCCCTGCCACTCCGACGCCACGGAAGATGCAGACAAGGCCCAAGCCGAGACGATCGATTTGGTTTGATGTCACAGACAATCCGGATGACCAACCACTCTCGTCCTCCACAGCTACAGCCAAAGGCCGCAGCACTGGTACGATCAAGGCCGCCAAGCTCCAAGATCGTGTCCGCAGAAGGATGGCCAGGAAGATGGAGGAAATCTTCCAGGCCAATAGAGCCGCTGGACTCAACACGGACTCAGCTGCCTCATCCAGTGCTGCATACAAGGATCCAGCTTACAGTTCATCATGTCAGCGTCTGCATCAGCTTGGTCAGTCTTGCAAGAGGCAACACATGCCCCTTTCACTTAGACCTGCCATGCTCTTTGCCTTCGCCCCTCTAAGGTCCAGCCCACCAGTGGCTCCGACAGGCCAAGTTGACACAGGCGGGGATCGCTTTACTGAGCGCTTGGCGTTGCAGACCTCTGCACCTAGGTCCGGGCAGCCACCTAGGTGGGTTCCCTGCTTACAAACATTTGTTGCTCCCTCCACTGGCTACTGCCTGCAACACTTGCGGCTATCAGGCTCGTGTCTGCCGACATGTCGGATGCCCGACGGCAAGCCCGGATCCTTGCAGGTCCCATTGTTACCCTGCTGGGGCTTAGAAAGGCCACTGAGCCCTTTCACATGCGCCTATCCAGGCCTTGAACGACCAGTGTGCACATCTACCACCATGCCGGCCGGGCTCACATGGACCTACGGTGCCTCCCCACACCGTGATGATTATCGATGTGCTGTGACTCGAGGTATGCCAGCTGCACTGGCAACAGGTCCTTCTCTGTTGCACGCTCACTGCACAATTGCTGTTCAATCAAGTCACCACACCTGGCAGGGGTGGCCGGATGCTTTCCTGACTGACCAACCTGAACATTGTCTGGTGTGCCTTCGACACACCAGACCATCTGCTGGTCCTGCTTCGGTACGATGCCCACCTCCACCACCAGGAGCTGGTTTGCAACCCGACGGGCTCTCAGTTCTTGCGACCGTCACTCCCAGGAGGACGATAGCTCCATCTAGCAGTTCTTTCAGCCTGCCTCCAGGTCTGTCTTCGCCACTGGGCGCAGGCCAGAGGGTCGAGCAGGCATCACTCTGGGACTCCTACCTGTCCAACTTGTGCAGGATATCCCGGGCACGTGGCTTGCCTATCGTCTGGCGGACCCATGCTGTGAGTGGTGTCGGCTTGAGTACCGTAGATGTACACCATATGCCACCCGTATGCAACAAACCAGCACCTCGCAGGCTAACAAGATCAGATCCCGCGAGCCTGACTCTGAAGTGCAGTTGCAACACAAAGTCTCCCACACGGCACTGGACCTGCACACTATGGATTAGCTGCGTAGACAGTCTGCTGCACCGCACTCCGATGCCGATGCAAGCATTTTTGTCAACATGGACAACTAGCACTATAAGGTGCCCCTCTCATATTCTCAACACACCTGCTCTGAGCTACTCCGGTCCCAATTCCGGAGACCGACATTTTCGTACGGCTGACAACCTGTCATCTTTCAGACACCAGCTGGTTGTCCATCTAGCCTCCGAACAGTCGGTAGGGGCGAGGGTTGTGAGCGGCTGCCACCCGCTCACGAGACCGAAACTCACCTTCGTGGTGAGGGACGGGAAGCCGTGGCAGGAGCCCAATGAACTACACTCTGCTGTGAGGGCAGTCTTGCGAGACCCCCCACAAAACCACACTATTCGCTCTGACCAAATAGCATGGACAAGCTGCTGCCAGGATATGCTCCACCGCAGTCAAAGCCCCGGTATTTCTTCCTCTACAAACAGGGTCTACCTATTCGTCTTGTTGCCATCTGGGCTCCAGCACTTCTACACCTTACCTCTCCTGGCCTTCCTCGTTTTAGGAGGCCTCCCCCTGGAGTACAACCACCAACACCTGCAACCCGACCTATCCACACCGCTGACAGGTGTCGTCCTCCGTCGACTACTGATCGACCCAGTCAGGCCCCTGGCACGTCGACGCACCCTAAGCTGTGCCCTCGTCCTATTCTGTTTCTCTCGACTCTGTTAGCCCTCCCAAGGTCGATCTGGGGAGTGCCTTCTGCACACCCCCTGCACTCTCCAGTAGCGAGTCACTCAGGAGAACTCAGGCCGGTTGCAGTCAACCCCACTGAGTACACATTTGCCAGGAAGCGATCTTACAAACGTGCCTTACGTCGTGCTGCACAGGACCAGGCCCAGCATACGGTTTATCGAGGCCGTGTCTGTACCCTGCAACAGCTTTGCAAAGGCTATCGGGGCCATCGACCCGCCCAGGCTGAGCGTCGTATGCAGCAGGCCGCTCTGAAAGTCTCCCAGGGACGCTTGTTGTTCCTCTCCTGGAATGCTGGAGGACTGTCCCAGGCCCTGTGGCAGGAATTCTTGCTAACACTTGAGAATATGCCACCTGACGATCGACCCCAGATCGTGTGTGTTCAAGAAACTCATTGGACGGATAAGGTGGCACCCCAATTCCCCACTGCTACGTGGGATGTGTACACCTCCCCGACCACTGACAACAAATCTGCTGGGCTCCTGATTCTCCTCAACAAGCAGACTACCCGTAACTGCAGAATTGTCTATGCCGACCCTCAACCGGGTAGGGTGCAACACCTGAGGATACTCCATGACCAATGGGCAGTCGACCTGCTGCACATCTATCAAAAGCCGCACAACTCTCATCCACTCGCCCTGCAATCCTCCAAAACCATTCGCTTAGCTGTTTGGGAGTGCATTGGTAAGATCCTGGCGGCTCTACCTGCCCGCAACACGGTGATCATGCTTGGAGATTTTAATACTCAGATCAAGCCATGTGCTGCAGCTGGCACCAGGATCTGTTCAGGCAACAGCTCGGGAACACATCCACCTGATCAGGCACGGTTGCAGCATCTTGTCGAGGACTTCTCCCTCCTACATCTCAACTCATGGTGCAAGGCTGCTGGCCCCACGTACCATCACAACAAAGGTGCCAGCCTCATTGACCATATCATCATGCGTTCTTGCCAAGCGGATGATCGTGCTCGGCAGGCCAAACCTCTCCGCCTGGGACTAGCTGCATGGAGACTTGGTGGCTACCATTTACCACTGAAGGCCAGTATTCCGCTTCAGCGCTTCCACACTCTCAACAAACCGGTGGCACCCAAACGGACATGGGATCATTGGGGCTTGATTCAGGTTTGCCGCTCTGCTTGGGATCCGCGAGTACACAGTCTACGTACTGCCGTTCAGGCATCCCTACCTGGGGTCACTGATCTTGGGCAATTACATGCTACTCTGATTCACTGTGCATCCCAATTTTTCCCGCCGCCCACAGGTCAGCATCGGCTAGCGCTGTGGCAGACACCACCAATGCAAGATGGTATCCGATCCTACCGAGCCTGGAAGACTGCCAAATCTCAAGATCGGCACAATCCGCTTTATGTATCCAGGTGCTATCATCACTTCAAGACGGCACACAAGGCCTTTCGTCAAGCCGGGAAAGAAGCTAAGAAGCACTGGTTCCATGGCAGGCTCCAGGAATTACAGGCTGCCGCCTGTTCGGGTGACTCCCGCAAACTTTATGCTGGCATCCGCACCCTTGCTCCTAAATCCTCCAAGCCGAAGGTTCAACTGCGCGATTCTGGTGGTCATCTGCAGGACCCGAAGATCCAGCTACAACAGCTGGAAACGCACTATCGTAAACTTTATGCTGCAGACGAGGATACCAGCATCCAGGGCCCTCAGCGGACACCCATTCACATCGAGGTCACGGAGGCCGAAATGACCCTGGCACTTTCGCAATTGTCGCCCCACAAAGCTACACCTCCGAATCTAGCCACAAACTCTTTATGGAGGCTGACCTCGGACATTGTCGCGCCTCTCTCGTGCCAATGGTGCCGGCAATGGCCTCATATACCAGAGCTTTGGCGGAATGCATGGTTGACTCTCGTTCCGAAGATTCCGCGACCACTCTCACCCAAGAATCTCAGACCAATAGGGTTAACTGAATCCAGCGGCCGCGCATATGCTTCCATACTTCAGGCGAAACTGCGCCCCTATGCAGAGAGGTTCCTTACGGACCAGGCACAATTTACATATCTACCGGGTCGCAATGCTGCTCAAGCCATACATCGTGTTGCTGCTCACTGCAAGTATGTCCAGGATCGCTGCTCGATCTCAACACCCACGGTTGTGGATCGTCACGCACAACAACCGAAGCCCTGCCCACATTTTGCAGGTGCACAACTCTCACTGGACTTGTCCAGCGCTTTCGACCTCATGGACTGGCGCTTGCTGGACAAGGCATTGCTTGCATCTGCAGTCCCGGCTGAGTTAAGACACCAAATCATGTCCTGGCACTCCGAGATTTCCTATGTCCTTACCCACCTTGGGCACACTGCCAAAGTGGAGGCCCAAAGAGGACTTAGACAAGGGTGTAAACTGGCTCCGTTGCTCTGGACACTTGCCCTGGCACAGATATATCGTGAGCTCCTTGCAGAGGGGGACCCGCTCCTCACAGCCCCTTGGCTAGAGCAAAGCTCCACGATTTATGCAGATGATATACATCTTAAAGATACCGTGCAGAACACTCGTGAGCTGGACGACATGGTGCATCGCTTTAGTAAGATCCTCGATGCTCTTGCCGCCCATGGTATGGTCATCAACTCGGCCAAATCAGCACTGTTGCTGAGACACAAGGGAAGTTTCATCAAAGGCTGGCTGCGACGACATCTCATACACAAACCCGAGGGAGATCTACTACGCTTTCGTAGCCCCCTGGGAAAGGTGTATGAAATTCCGTTGCGTGACCATCACACGTACTTAGGCATTCGCATCTCATATCATTCCCAGGCCAAACAAGCAGTCACCTATCGCCTACAGGCTGCGAACCAGGCATGGCAAAGACTTCGTGGTGTACTGTGCTCTACCAGGCACCTTGCTCAGACACATCGTCTCAGTCTATGGAAATCCACAGTGCTTCCCACGCTGCTCTATGGCATAGCGGCATCCAACCCAGGTGCCAAGGATATCCAGCGTATGCAGCACATGATGACCAAGCAGGTTCGAGCCATCACCCGATCTTTTGCACATCTTCAGAAAGAATCCACACTCGACCTCCTGCACAGATGCTCTCTGTTTACCATCTTGGAGCATCTCCAGAGGGAAGCCGCCGCCTTGCATCGCAGCCTGACTGGCCTGAGCACCCAAACGAGCTTCGTGACCCAAGCCCAGGTGGAAACAGCTCGAGACACAGCTGCTACGCTCCACCTACAGGTGCAACGCCAATGGCAGGTACCTCTCGGTGACAAAGAAGGCATCACTGACCCTGCAGTACACCAGTGCCAGGAATGTCATCGGGTCTTCACCTCCTTTCGGCTCCTCCGCTCTCACGAGGCTAAGTGGCATGGACTCAAGACACCTGCTGCCGTCCCGGTGCCTTTTGATAGGTATGCACATGGAACAGAAGGACTTCCAACGTGCAGACATTGTGCCCATCCCTTCCGACAATGGGACGGACTTGTCAAACACATCAAACGCAATCGGTGCCAGGTACTCCGTAGACTTGCCACACAACCTCCTGCTGATGCCCAACCCTTGGCTCCGAGATCAAATGAATCCGATCCTTTACCAGTCCTTGCCCCGGTCACCCTGCCACCTCAGGACTCCTCTCAGGAGACCTACATCCTACAAGAAGCTCAGGCTGCTACGCCTACTCCTATTCCGGTCGTTATACCTGAACCCCCTGTCACAGACGCTCCACTGCAGGACAGCTCCACTACACCGAGCCATGAGGCTGTTCCCCTTCATCAGCAATCTCATGTTCTCGCAACGCTACGTGCACGCAGGTGGACTGACCTCCTTGAGAAGCCGGAGATTCACTCGTATCTCCAGCACCACTGCCCGCTGTGTTATCAGTGGCTAGCCACTCCTACCAGCATCAAGTATCATCTCACCATGCAACATCCAGAGTGGAAAGACTGCCAACCTGCGACTCTCAAGCTCCTTACTGGTTTCCGCCGACATACTGTAGTTCCATGTCGCTACTGTCATCAGCGAAACATCAACAAAGATCGACATTGGAAACAGTGTCATGTCCTGCATATTTGTGCATTTCTAGCAGAGCATCATGACGCTCACCGCGGATCCCATGGAGCTGGACGAACAGGAGAGGCAATTTTGGGCCCAGGCTGGTCCGGTCAAACGGGAACAGGAACCGAGAAGAGATATGCTGCAACAAGCCGAGCAATCCAAGAGACAGCGTCTGGCACCGCAGGACCGGACCAAGGGCAAGGGCAAGGGTACCAAGGGCAAAGGCAAGGGAAAGCAGGGCCTACCAAGTCCACCCAGTGCACACCCGACCATGGGTTACACAAATGGTTTCGGAAGCCATCCACCCAATCCCTGGACACAGACACAGGACCTGCAGCCACTGGGAAGTCAGGATCCAGAATGGATGGAGTACAGGATGAATCGACTATCTCAGCTGGTCCTTCGTCAGGAGCAAATCATCTCAGCCATCCGTCAGGATCTGGTCCTCTACCTCTTTGTACGATCAGGGCAAGAAGGGATGGTGCCAGTTCTATGCGAAGCAGCGGAGAAGTGGAGGAAGATGAAAGAGGAAGAACCCGAGAAGATCACTTACTCCCTCAAACTCATGCTATTCAAGCAACTGCTCATCACCCTACACCAGAGGTTGACCAACATGATCGCGGACGAGGATGCTCTCGCCAAAGCCAAGAACCTGAACTGGATCGACGATCAGAAACATTGGAAACATCTCACATGGAATCCTTCCAAACAATGTCTGGAAGTCGACAACTCAGTGAGGCCAATACCGGCGGAGGATCTGTTGGCCCAACTGGTTCAGATGAGGAAGGCTGTTACGGAGGAGACCCTGGTGAGGTTCAAGTCCATGCGGAAGCTCACCACGGAGGTGACCTCCGACTGGATCCAATTCCAGATCTGCTTGTCACTTCGCCCAGAGGGAGGAGCCATGTGGAGTACGCTGAACCAGTGGATCGGTCAAGCATCGTGGCACACACTGGGATGCAGGCTCCGTCGCGATCGACCGAACTACGACACCCTGGTCCAGGAAGTGTGGCAACATCAGATGCCATACTGAGTGTGCGCCCTAGTCTCAAGGCCGTCCTTCGATTGATCTTCCACAATCCATCGAATTTGTGCTACCTACACTCTACCATCTATGCCCTTCTGTGGACAATCCTTCAGGCTAGGCTACACGATGCCTACATCTCGCCTCCACCGCAGGCTCTTACTATGCTGTGTCCACCAATCACTGATTCGCCTAATTGTCCCATTCAGGTGCTCCATTCGGTACCGTGGCTTATGCTGCTGCAAGCTTGGCCTTCTGTACATCGTCAGCATGATGCAGCTGAGTTGATACAATACCTCTTACCCAGGTTCTCGCATAGTGGGTTCAATGGTGGCTGGGAGGCCAGAAACTTTGCACCTGGAGGTATTGTCACTCTTGATACGGGGCCTACCCAAGCTCCAATTACGATTGTGCTACCGGCAGGTCCAAGCTTGGAGCTTCAGGCAGCCATTGATGGGTGGAGTGCTCAGGTCACAGCCCGTTATGCACTGCTGACCCCGTCTCCCATGCTCTGCATACAACTTCAGCGCTTCGCGAATGCCGAGGGAGTCATGCGCAGGGACACCAGACCACTGGCTGTGGCCTCGACTACAGTTCGTATGCCACTCTTTACAGGACTGCACACTATGCAAGTTCGCTATGTTCACTACCAGGTCGTCGCTGTACAGCTTCACTACGGGGCCACTCCTGATATGGGGCATTACAGAACTATCCTACGAGGACAGCCGCTGTTTGGTGCAGAAAAATGGTGCTCCTGCACAGCAAAGCCAGTTGGCACAGAACACGATGGCAACATATACATAGTGTGGCTACGTCAGGTACTCCCTCCTGGTGCCTGACGCTGAGCAAGTGTAGTCTTAGTAGATGGAGCTGGCACTGCCCTCCAGAACCCAACAGAGGTTCCGATACCCCGAATACCGGGTTATCGTCAGCTCGCTAGGCGAACCCGGACACTTCGCTGCGTGGTGAATGAATGCTGCTGCTGCTGCTACTGCTACTGCTACTGCTACTGCTACTGCTACTGCTACTGCTACTGCTACTGCTACTGCTACTGCTACTACTGCCGCAGCCGCTGCTACTGCTACTGCTACAGGTCGTGGCTTCTCCGAGAATGCGGTTCCGCACATGGCAGTGGGCAGTGATTTGGAAAAAAAATGCACTGCGACAAGTTGGTAACAGCCTGCCCATGTGAAGGTTTCGAACAACTTGACGTAGCCTGTTCCGGCGATCACGCATACGTGCTGCGGCACGTGCCAATGTACAGACCAAACCCTTCAAGTTTTCTGAGGGCATTTCGGATACCTTGATGTTCAGCATTTTCTGCATGCTTTACCCCCAGCCAGTTGAGAATCGCCAGGCGGTTGCCACCACAAGAACACGGCATGCTGCTGGGATTTTTGCCAGCTTCATAGCATGATGCCTCTTCGAGTTTCCTGGTTCAATATTGAGTTCAAGCTTTCCGTCGCGACTCCGTGCCGGGGAACACAAAAGAAACAATTAACACGTGCCCCCTTCCGCAGCTGCAGCGCTCAAGCGTAGCAGCATTCAGGACGCCCAGCGGCGAGGGACCAAATTTAGAGCTCCCGCCAAATTTTTAGGACCGGCCATGGCATCCAGCAAGGCCGGAGCGTGTCATCGAAACGCTAAAGTAGGTTGATTTTGTTTATCAGGAACCCTTGTAAGAAGGGCTCCGGTCACAATTTGAGAGCTGCAGGCAGTACAGCCCCGTTAAAAGCTTGGAGCCTTCAACCCTGGAACGCTGCAGATGCTTGGGTACTCGGCGTAGGTGTGGTTCTTGAGATATCCACAATTTGGCTGCGGTGCTGCTGTCTTAGCGGCCCTGATCTGTAGAGCATAGGTGTTGGCCTTCAGAGTCCTTGGTTCGCGATTCCAACTATCGGATTGAGTCTCAAAGGTTGCCATTGAGACCGTGCTGTACACGGATTCAGGCAATCAGCTTCTTGAATTTGTTTCACATGTTGTGCCGGTGTCCCCCACTTCCTTGCGAGTGCTTTCACGTCGAAATTGCGCTCCGACAGAATGCAGGACCGAACATAAAGTCACGGTCCGAGTCACGGTTTTAAGCAGACACAGTCTTTGAAGCTAGTCTAGTGCGTAAGCTTCCGACATCAAGTCCGGTCGTACAATCAGCTCTAATGAACGACGACAAGACTAATCACGAGGTGCATGGGGTGTGTGGAGATGGATAAGGATGCCGAATTTCATACGTGCTTAGGAAAACAGGTGCTAGGAGGAAGCTTTAACAAGGCCTCGCAGCTCCCCATCCTTGCGACTGAACGCAGATGACGATTTGTGGGCTGGGCCTTGCTGGCGTCCTCGGAGGCCTAAGCCAGCGGGGAGTAGGGCAACATGCATTCTGCATTCTGTTGAGCCTTTAGGATCGGTTTGTGTTTCGCATGATCTTCGTGCAGGCTTGGGTGTCGTATGGTGACAGGGATTGGGCAGTAGGAAAATTGGATGATCGGCAGTCCGATGACCTAACCCGAATCGCCGTTTTGCGCCAGGCCATGAAGCCTGGGTGACGGGTTTGGGGCAGCTACGTGGCATCTGTAGTAGATGTAGTAGTAAGCCACTCGAATCCAAACCCTACCCAAGGCTTACCTGCAAAGACGCAGAAGCCCAAGAGTGAATGTTCGGCCAAGGAGCCCTTTCGTTGTGGAAGAGATTTGACAAGACTCATCAATGAACATCGCGTCCAGGTGTCAAAGCCTGCACGTGAGTCGAAGCCGGTTCCTTAAGAAGGTTCATAAAGCTTTTTACAACAAATCTTTGGCTTGGGCGAATTTCCGTGTCGTTTTGGAGGCGCAGCCTTCGTCGCCCCGCGTGCAGGGCCAGGCAGCACCGCAGCGACGTCGCTGCGGCGGGGGAATCAGGCGACCTGTTCATCTCAAAAGCGGCTTTCTCATGAAATCTCATGGTCGTATCACCCCAAACCCCACACCATTATCGCAAATACTCTAAACCCCGCTAAACCCTGACACACTAGGAAAGGCCCAGAATCCCAAGTCGCAGATTATTCAGATTGACTGCCTTCGATGTGCCCGAGGGCTTCCAGATCTGTGGGGCTTTAACATTAAAGCTGAAGCAAGCAGACTACAAGGTTTTTCAGGGTTCTTTACTACGTATCAAGGAGTAGACGGGATAGTAGGTGCTAAGGCATCTGTACTTGGTTCGCTTGAGTTGCGGTTGACGGCTGAGTTTTGGCGATCCAGGAACTCGAGCTCGAGCTCGGGGGGTGGCTTAGTCTTATTTCCATAGGTGACTGGGCCGAAGCTTTGGGGTTTCCCCGAATCCAGACGGCTCCGGCGCGACGCCTCTGTGGGAGGCAGCATGCTCAAGGGCTCCAAACCAACAGAAATCCCTTGTGCTTCACCTGGGTCACTGGCTCGAGCAGCGCTTCGCCTGTTTCAGGCTTGAGGCTCCGAAAGGCCAAGGATCCAGGTACCGAGGCTGAAACCGACATGTTCCAAGCCGACAAGCTTTTATTGGCGCCTTGGCGTCATCCACCCCATCATCACCGTCACCCCTCCATCGACTTACTGGTCCATGCTCAACGAATGTATCCATCCAACAATTCGATTGGGCCAGCGAGGACGAGTATGAGTTTCTTTCGCATTATTTGAAGCTGTGGCCCAGACCGCGCAGCCAAGTGGCGTGGCCTCTACTGCAGCTGCTGGCTGTGCCGCTGCCGCTGGCGTCGTCCTGGCTAGCCAGGCGAGGAGGGTGGGGGGCAGGGTTCGGGGTTTTGTGCTGCTGAAGGGATCTTGCTTCCAGCGAGTTTGGGGATGCCTGACGGCTTGGTTCGAGTGGGCTTGTAGCAACAAGCCCCAAACCGTGAGCCCCGACCACAAACTGCAAACCTGCACGGTCAAACCTGCCCCTGCCCAAATGTCGGTTGTCGTGCGCGCTGTCGTGATCGCGACGGTCACAGTCGTGATTGCCGTCCCCGTCGCCGCATTGTCGCTGGCACCACTGTCGTTGTCGTCGTTACCGTCATGGTTGATATTCTTGACTTTCGTTGCTGCGGCTGCCTCTACTGCGGCTGGGGCTGCCGCCGGCGTTGTTTCTGTTATTGTTGTAGTTGCTGCTGCTGCTGCTGCTGCTGCTGCCGGGGGCGGCGGGTGGTTGGCGAACGCTGGCGGTGGAGGTGGTGGCGCTGGTGGTGGCATTGGTGCCCGGCGGCGGTGGGAGCTGCTGATGATGGTGGGGGTGATGGTGGCGGTGGCGGTTCCTGCACAGGTTATTCCTGATGTTTGTCCCTCTACGCCGCTTACATCCGTTTTTCTGCCACACGGAAGAGGGCTGGATGTTGGTAACTTCATATTTGTCGACAAGCTCCGTCGCAGGTCAGAAAAGCGCAGGCGGAATGGGAGTGCATTGAGATGGGTTCCTTCGATGTCTGTTTTCCGTTCCCTTGGCCTCTCAAGTCTTTGCGTTCAGAGTGTCTCTTGGATCAGCCCGAAACCCTCAACCCTCAGCTCTCTTTTCCGTGGTGCGTTGACTTGCGTCCATTCTAGATGTTCAGTATGGTTTAGCCAGTTGTCAAGTCTTGGCCCTTGGCCTTTCGGTTCCCGTGCTAGAGACTTCTGTTCAAGAGTTACCTTGACACGACTACCCATCCTGCACTACTTGTTTGCTTTCCACTTCTGAGCCGCTGAAGATTCTACTAATTTTTGCAATGGTTCGTGGCAGAAGGTTTTGGAGGTTGGATGTGCAGCACCCCGAGGGTCAGGACAACAAGCCAGTAGGCCTCGGATTGCGTTGACTTATGCTGCTTAGGTCAACCAGTGTGTATCGTACCTGCACTCGAAGTAAAAGTCCGAGGCTCGCAAGTAAGTCCCGATTATCCCTTCAGTTGCTTAGCCGGCTTAGCTACGATTTAGGGTGAGGCGTGAGGTGTTCTAAGGATTCTAATCGGTAATTAGAACTTTAGATTGTGCTCGAAGCCGATGTTTTGGTGGTCCTATAAAAGATGATAAGCAGAGAGTTCCTGCTACAACACCTGAATAAAGGGTTTTGGGGTCTCCAGGGTCCAAGCTGAGTGACCTTTGACGCCTCACCTAAAGCTTTACCTCTCAGGACACAGTCCCAAAGCTTACAGTCCTCGACTCTCATGCTAGCAAAACATTCCGGTACGTGATCTCGCTTGACGGACAACCCTGTCTTATCGTCAATCCAGATAGGGTCCTTACCAACAAATTCAAGATGGGAGTTTATTGAGATAAGGACGGCTGAGTGTTTCCTCAAACATTGCAACGATCGTGGTGTGATCCAAGCTGCGAGGCTTCCGCGTCCAAGTTCACGACAGCCCTCCGTGCTTTTGAGCAGGCCTGCAGACCTCAAGTTCTTGTTGAGTTTTGGTTCTAAGACTTCCAACACATGTCAATAATATTGCGCTCGGGTGGTAAGTGGTTTAGGTCCTTTAGGTTTTAGGATTTGCGGTTTCAGCGTTTAGTTTGCCTTGCCGCAAGGGCGGCATTGCGGCCCAAAGCCTGAGCCAACTATTCCTGTAAATTCCATAACCAACTGCAACGCCCAAATCGTGTTTCAAAATCCAACGCCCCTCTGAAGCCCCACAGGCCCAAACCCGAAAACCTTGAATCCCAAATCCATTTCCGGACCCCAAATCCCGACGCTTCAAGCCCCGCGCATCCCAAGTTCCCGAGTCCTTTCAAACCCTAAAATCATTAAACCTTACGTCGATTTAATGTGGTCCCCTGATGAGCAACCCTAAATCCCTTCTGGATCTTAATTGAAACCCCCAAGGTCCTAAGCCTCAAAGAGTACCCACTCCCCACGTCTTTCAGCCGCCTCCAGG